GGGAGGCGTGAGAGCCGGCCCGCGACGCCCCCACCGCCTGCCAGGGGCCTCCCGCGTCCTCGCGTGTGTACTCGGGAGATGCACTCATTTACGCACGCGAGAGCTGGGCGCAGGCTAGAAGTGTGGGGGCGAGAGGCCTCCCCAGAGACGGAGCGGGGAGCAGAACAGGCCACGGACCAAGCCCACGGCTGAGGGGCCGCGGGGAGACAGGAGGGGGCTGCCGCGCCCTGGGGCCCTCCTGGCCGGGCCTGGACTCGCGCTGCGGCGGCTGCCACAGCCTCCTAGTGCTGAGACTTGTGGTCAGTCCTAATCTCATCGTGTCTGTGGTTTAACAGTTTTTTCTTTGTGTTTCTGAAATCTCAGAGATGTACTTAGGCGCTACTATTAGCTCTGATGATTTCTTCTTTAGAAAACAGCCCCCCCCCTCAGTCCTGCAGAATCAGTGGCTGCTGCATCAGCCACAGGAGCTTACCGGAGAAAGTGAAAACATCCAGAGAAAAACAGGCAGAGAGGGAAGCTGAGAGCGGCCAGGGCCCTGCACAGGCCCCTCGGGGTGGGATTAGCGGCCAGTCGGGAAAATCGCCCTTTGCAGAGTCTGTGATGGAGGCGATTAGGAGGCTCAGCACCGTGGAGGGGAGAAAAGCAGGCGTGGTCGGACGTCCGCCAGCAAGTTAAGGGGAGAGAAAGACCATTCAGGTTCTCTGAGGTTATTCCGAGCGCGCAAACGGGAAACACACAGCCACAGGAGAGTCACCCCTCGAAGGCTTCTCCGTTTCCGGACTCCACTTCCGCTGTGAAGTGTGAATCACCAAGGCTCTTGCTTCCAGCAGGACTTTCTAATTTCCTCACCAGCTCCCCCACCCAGATGCCCACACGCCACTGTGTGTCGGGCCCTGAACCACTCTGAGCCACTCACCGCTGACTGTAGGCCTGGCCCCAGGAGTCTGGCCCCAGGGCCCCAGGGCCAAGCGGCACCCCTGGGGCCTCAAAGGGCCCCCCCAGCCCACCCCACCCCCGCTGCGGAGAGCTGAGGACTGAGGCGGTTCAGGGCATGAACGGCGGCACCCCATTCGGATGACAGGATATGAAGAAAACAGGTATGAAAGCTCACAGAAAAAGTTTTTCAAATCCGGTGTTTATTTGTCAAATACCACCGCTTTTTCTTTCATTCCTTTCTGTTTCTGATCTTAGCAAAAACCACACCAGGATCAGGTGTCACTCAGCGCTTACTGTAACAGAGGGAGGCAGACACAGCGTCTACCCGCCACTTAGCTGACCTGGGCCCTGAGCGAAAACAAACCGCCGCAAATCGCCAGATGTCAGCAATCGGGGAGCGATCACTTTAATTAATTGAACAGCTTTCCTGAAATTTACTGTACCATTTCAACCCTCCTAACACCTTTCCCAGAAGCAACTAAAAATAGCGGTTTGTTTCACTCTAGCTGTTTCAAGGAGGCAACATTTTTAACTTCCCTGGCTTGAATGTGTTTTTCAATTCTTCAAGATGAGGGTGGTCAACTAACTTCAGAAGCTATGAGCATCCTAAATGTCACCGTTCAATGCTGAAGGTTAGACATGACCCCCAATATCTCGAAGGCCTGGACATAAACATGTTTTCAGACCTACAAATACCGAACAGGTGACATAACTGTACGGGAGCCTCATCGTGGCAAAGTCCAGCGTGCGTGACATGGGCTTCCATCCCCTTTAATTTTAACTGTGCAGAGCTGATGCCTGATGTATGTTTCTGAGCCACGGTTTGCACCGCAGGCCCTTCAAGTGGGCCCTCCAAGCCTGCTTCGCTAGGGCACTTTCTCACAGAACAGTTCTCCTGAGAACTACGCCATTCTTAATCCAAGATTCCCTGCTGACCAGTGGGGAGGTGGAGTCCTAATCCCCAGCGTCTAGCCCAGCACGTCTCGGGGGAAAACATCTCTGAACGTGGAGACCCGTTGGGTAGTGAGCCAAAGTGTGTGACTGCAACAATAAATACTTCAAACTGAGAATTCTGAAAGAGAGCGAGCAAGCACATGGCTAGAGAACAAGGCAGTCAGCACGGAGACAGCCTCTGCACGCTGCAGACACCGACGCAGCCACGTTTTGCTTGTAAGATCTTAAACCCACACAGTCCCCCGCCTGCAAACATTCACTTACAAGGAAAGCAGTGTAATATTTGCCGAGGCCGGTCCCAGGTTTGGAATGGTCCTCAGTTCATTGTTGTTCAGTTTCCTATAAATGACAAAAAAGAAAAGGAAAGAAAAGCTCGTAAGTCATCTGTAGTTCAGGCAGGTGAAAAATGACACGATTAAAGAGCCCGCCCACGTGCAGCATTTTGGATCGTCTACTGAATCCAAGCAGTCTTCAAGGAGCACTGCTTGGTCCAACCTCACAGAGACTCTGTGCGACTTACACTTCTCGAAGGCTTCGAAGATGGCTCACGGAATCTGCCTTGATAAAAGACAATCGGTTGTGACTTAAGTCCCTGCGAACACAAAAATAAAATTGTAAGCAGCCGTCTCTCATCACTGTAGGCTCCGCGCGTGGTGGACAGAGTGGAGTCGGGGAGGACACATCTCTGTGGACGCTGGTGACAGCAGGCGAGACCACCCTGCCCGGAATCGAGATGGCACCCTAAGCGTCAACCTGAAAAATCGGACTCTGAGGACAAAATTAGTTTACGAGGTGGGTGGATGCAAATGCTCGAAGCCCACAAGTGTTTCGGGAGATGTTTTTGGCGCAGAGTGAACAGAGCTTTTGTGGACGGCTTGTTTGGCTTCATCCTCCCCCCCCACCCCGCCCTCACCTCCCATTTGATGTGACTGAGTCAGGGCTTACGCCAAGTGGCTAACTGGGCAGGTTGCTGAAATGAAAACCTGAAACGAAGCCGATTTATTATCATCAAATTACACATCAGTGCCCTTATTTCAAGCAAACAGACAAGAAGCTGCTTTTCACCCCTATTTGTTTCTCTGCGTTGAGGCTCTGAGTTACTCAAAGAGCGCGTGTGTGAAGGGGACAGACCACAGCCTGCGGCCCGCTTCACCCGAGCTCCCCGAACGCCGGCGTGGATGCAGTGCCAGCTCAGACTGCGTGACTGCCCAGCAGAGTCAGGCTCGAGCTACAGGGGCTGGGTCGGCTTTCTCTAGCACCAACTGGCCTGGTCCCTCAAAGGTCAGTCTCGGCAGCCGTTTCCCCAGGACGTCAGTCAGTCCTCGCAGGGAGCACAAGACTGGCACACACGTAAGCCATCTCGGGATTTACATCAACAGCGGAAGCAAACGCCAGCAAATCTCTGGGTCTCGCCCTAAAGGCCGAAGCACCCACGCATGTCCTCAAAGCAGCGCAGCCAAAGGAAATGGCAGAGCAGCTGTCAAGCGCTGGTGTGTGAGCAGGGGGGCTGGCAGCCCCCACCCCCCGACCCCAGAAGAGGTCAGCCGCGCCCCCCGGAGGTCGCTCTTCCGGAGTCCACAAAGGAAGACTTGTAAGTCAAAGCCTTATTTATTTATTTATTTGTGCACACAGAACTGGGGGACAGGCCAGAGGTGCGGGGGCGGTGAGAGGCTTCACCAGAGGCAGAGTGGGCAGCAGAATGGGCATAAGCACACTGCTGAGGGGGGCAGCGGGCGGGTCAGGAGAGGGCTGCCGCGCCCTGGGGTCACCTCCTGGGGCAGGCGGGGATCGAACTTGTGAGCTACTTCTAGCTTCTTAGTGCTGCGCTTTAACCCGCCGCACCACCAGGGAGGGCCAAGCTGAAGACCTTTAACCCGTGTTTTCGGGAAACCGACTCGGAGGAAAAAGCATGACCCCTTTGCTATGTGCAAATATGCTCCTCCCCCCGAAAAGGCCAGAGAAACGACACCCAGAGAAGCAACAACTGCTGCTTCAGGCCTGCCCGTTCGTTTACAATTAGAAATCGGAGATCCTTTCTGTCTTGGCATTTTGTTTTGAGAATAAACCTGGATCTCTCCAGTCTACCTAAAAAAAAAGAAAAAAAAAAAACCTGCAAAGCTTTTATTTGAAACATGTTTGCCTAAAGACCTACCAGACAGTAACAGACATGAGTAGATTTGTTCTGGTAGAGTTATAACATGAAAAAAACCTGGCACAGTCTTGAAACTATAAAAATCCTGCAATCACCCGCCCTGCTGCGGGCCCTCCCCCTGGAGCCAGACACTTTCTCTGCAGCCCAGCGCCCATCTGGAGTCCATCAGAAGCCCGCGAGCCCACCGCTCACGTTGGGATCCCACAAAACCTGTGTGCTTTTAGCACCGCAGACGGCCCCAGATTTCCCACAGGGCTTCAAAAACAACAGCGTGGAGAGGCCTTCACCTGGGAGGTAGGCCGAGTCAACGCAAAGTCAACACAGAGGGGCTCCCACACGGGGGGACCCCCTGAGCTGGAGAACAGCGAGTCCCTGTTGTTCCAAGTCTGCAAAGCAAAGGGGAACCCAGCTGGCATGTGTATTTAATGCAGGCGCTTTTCTTTTTAATTAGAAAAACGAAAGCCATGCTCTTCACTGCATTCGAAGGGTTATTTCACCAGGCAAAGCTGTGAGCAGAGACGCAGGGCTTCACGTTTCCCTCAGCACTCATGGGATAATACCCCCAACCAGAGACCCCTGCGCTGAGAAGCTGCGGTCAGAGAGCAGGCAGATTCTGGGGACCCTCGTGTCAGGCCCCGAAGGGCCCGGCAGCCTTAAATATGCCCGTCGGCAACACCCTGGCACGCCTGAATTTTGTGTACCGTTAAAACCGCATTATATTATATTATACCGGGGGGGGGGGATCACCCCTTAGTGACTTTTGCTGCTAGACTACGCAAAGTCACGAAACTTTTAATGCACCTAAATTTAGTTTCATACTAAATTTAGTTTATGTTCCAGAAATGATTATTTGCCAATTGAGAGATGTCACATTTCCCCACATTTCCCTCATATTGATCTCTACGGCTGGCCTTGTGAAAAACAGACTCAAGTTATCCAATAGCCGTGTTTTCTTCAACCCATGAAAGCATTCAATACGGAAGGCAGATTCTTCATTATTAGAGTTCCATGAATAAGCCTCTTGCCTGGGAAACCTTTCTAAAGAACTTTTTTGGTCCTGAGGTTAACAAATGGGTAAAGTGGTAAAGCAGGAAGGTGCTATTTACCCAGAGCTCAGCTGGCCAAATACTGGAAAACCAAACTCTACCAGGCCTCATGAAGTCTCCCTGCGAATTAGCAAACGGGTAAATGTATATGAAGATAATTAATCTGCACCGTTTGGTTCCAGCTATCATTTTTCTTTCTCTTAGCATTTGGAAATCTGACTTCCAAGTCCAATTTTAAAATGCGAATCCAGCACAGCTTCTTAATCAATCCCACTGGGGCCCAGAGAGCTGCTAATTCAGCAGAAATCTGGAAAAGCTGAAAAACAAAAAGCCAGGCTGGGGCTGTTTTAAGACACTGATCCAAAGTGACTCATAAATCAGACGGCTATGTGCAAGTCTTCGTCTGGAAAATATAGAAAAACAGCTGTGAAAACCATAAGGACTGTTACCCCCACCGTGGCCCTCCCGGTTCCGACCAGACCAGAGGGTTCGAAACAGGAGAAAATTAGAGGCCGCAGCAGTAGAAAGTACCTTTCGGACTTTTGCCTCAACTCAGCTAACTCAAACGTTCTGAAATTCTGACATTCCAGCGGGATCTGAACAATACTTGAGGCTCTCGCGAGCAGCCGAGCGGCCGCCCCTCTTGGCCGACTGACAGGCTCCAGCGAGCACGCCTGTGTGCAGGCCCGGCTCTTCCGAGGCGCAAGGTGTAGACCGGTCAAGGCAGTGTCCCATACTTACTGTTTCAAGAGCCCCTTTCGCCAACCTGTTAGAGGTTTGCTAACCCTAACCCTTGGAAAAGCTGTAATGCTGTTTTGCAGCTTAACCTAACCAACTCCTCGCACAGGGGAGCTGGGGTCAGTAAATCGCAGCCAAACAAAATGAGAACACCCACCCACCCACACTCATATTCTTTTTGAGCTTGCAAATTCAACAAAAGAGATATTAAGTTCGTCTGACCCGTGCACTCATAAACCAGGCCTAAAACAGACTTTCCTCTCTCACTCCCCCCAGGTAAGAGACGGGAAAGAACGATAGGAATTTTCCTCTTTCTTCCTCAACACTGAAAGTCGATTTCAAAGCTTTTCTCGCTATGTAAGAGCAGCCAGGGCCTCCTGCTCCAAACTCCAAGTTCCGGAGAAATTAAAGCTCGACTCCACGTGTTTTCCTGCTCCTTGCGAAGATGGAGAGAGAAGGTCTCTAAAGCTTTAGGCACAAAGCAAAAGCAACAACATAGAGACTTCAGACCATGTGATCTGCTGACAGCCACAGAGCGGGCTCAGTCACCCAGGAGTGACACAGCTGTCCAATGAGGGGTGGCGGGGGCTCCCCACAGCGGACGGGGCGCTTATTTATACAGGTGGAACTTATTTTCACATACATGTAAGGAATGCGGCCTGCTCGCATGGAGACAGCGTACTGCTGGCGGAAATGCAATTAAAGATTGTGCTAACCAAATAAACCGTAATTTGTTTTCAGTGTGCCACCGAATCATCAGCAAACAAAGCCCTCACTAGGGCAGTTCCCTCTCAGACAACATTTCAAGGGGCTTCAGACCCCTTTGGTTTACCTCCACAGCTAGTCAAGAGCGAGTCGGTTCCCCCCTGACGGCGGAGGTGGGGTCCAGCAGCCGCGGCCGCCAGGCGCCTGTTAGGACTGAGCCTGGGCTACGCTGTGAAGGGGCCCGGCGTTTCCAGGCTCAGGCTGGGCGCACGGGCGCTTCCCTTTCTCGTCCCTCCATCACCAGAGGTGACCCGCTCCTGCCCGCCAGAGTTCAGCGCCAGGGCCCACGGCGCCCTCCGCTTCTTGAATAAGCCGGTGTGGCCTCGCCCGGGCAGCGGAGAGTAGCAGCCCTGACGGCGAGAGTCCTCCTGTCTGGGAGACAGGACTATGCCCTGTGCCCGCCGGCGGGTCCGGCGGGGGAACAGGAGTCCAGAGTGACTAGGAGCCCCAGCGCCCACTGGAACCCCCACGTTTCGCCCAGCGGCACACACCGGCTGTGCCCTCCCGGGCACCCTCCGCAGCTTACAGACAGAGGCTCTGCCGGGCAAAGCGCTTTCAAAACAGTTTCTCAAACTACCCCCATCCTCTGCCTCCATTACCAGGAACGTGGGGGAGGGGCGGGCGCGGCCAAGGACCTGCAGGTCCGAGGCACCTCGGCAGGCCCCGACCTAAGGACGAAGCCCGCTTCGCTTCAGCTTCTTTTAGACAGACTAAGTTTTCCCAAGAGGAAAACAAGCTTGACTGTTCTGCCTGCCGTTGGCACAGGCCCGCGGCTTTCAGCTAGGAGCGGGCTGCGGGAGAGTGAGCCGGCCTCGGAGCGCGCCGCCCTGTCCGGCCCGCGCCCAGCTGGCCGCGGCTTCAGGCGTCCGGACTTCGCCGACCCCGACGCCTGCAGACCCCACGGGCGCCTCCCGAGCGCCACGACATCGCCCACGCGGGTTCTGGAAACGCCGTGTCTTCTGGATCCGGCTTCTCGGGGAACCGGCGTGTTATCTGGCCTCAGGGCAGGGGGGTTTGTGGGCTCCCCCAATTCGAAGCTCAGCACAGCGCAGGCTCAGCCACAGGCTGTCCAGCCACGGCCTGCACAGAGACGCCCTGGGCGAGCCACAAGCTTCCCACAGGCAGGGGCGCAAGGGCCGGCTGCGCGCGGCCAGCAA